GGTGATGCACAAAAGGAGAACCCCTCGTCGGCCACCGCCACCCCCGCCCGCCGTTTCCAGCTTACCCAGCACAAGTACAAGCCAGCCGCCGAGAAAAGAAAAATGGCATTTAAAATCAGGGATAAAATTATCCCTACTATAAAATCATTCATGTCTTGTTTGTTCATCAAAGAATATAGAGAGAAGAGAAGAGGGAAAGGGTTTAGTAGAGAGAAGAGAAGAGGGAAAGGGTGATGTGACAAGACGTGCATGGGGAAGATAAATAATCTATCTTCAGAATTACTCCCTCCGTTCAAATAAGTATGAGCATATGTGGTTTAGTAAATATATTCACTTTTTGGAAAATGATTGTAATAAATTGAATTGCTTACAGTCCTAGTTAAACGATTTAGAAAATGAATTGCAATATATTCACTTTTTGGAAAATGATTGTAATAAATTGAATTGCTTACAGTCCTGAGACACTTCAAAGGTAATCACTCGTGAGAACCCTTACATTTGGAAAAAACACAGAGAGGAAAAAATCGGTTATTAATAGTATGAAAACTTTTTGTAACCGGTTATCTATTGTATGAAGTTGACTGGTGCTATACGCATATCGGACTTTATCCTCTTCGTATCCTACATTTGTATTTTAACTACATCTTTATTGTGAGTGTTACCCAACAGAGGTATCGTATGCCTCACTAGGTGGTAATGCACAAAAGGAGAACCCCCCATCGGCCACCGCCACCCCCGCCTGCCGTTTCCAGCTTACCCAGCACAAGTACAAGCCAGCCGCCGAGAAAAGAGAAATGGCATTTGAAATCAGGGATAAAATTATCCCTGTTATAAAATCACTCATGTTTTGTTTGTTCATCGAAGAAAATAGAAAGAAGAGAAGAGGGAAAGGGTTTGGTAGAGAGAAGAGAAGAGAGAAAGGGTGATGTGATAAGACGTACATGGGGAAGATAAATAATCTATCTTCAGAATTAGTCCCTCCGTTCAAATAAGTCTGAACATATGTGGTTTAGTAAATATATTCACTTTTTGGAAAATGAATGTAATAAATTGAACTGCTTACAGTCCTAGTTAAACGATTTAGAAATTGAATTGCAATTTATTCACTTTTTGGAAAATGATTGTAATAAATTGAATTGCTTACAATCATGAGACACTTCAAAGGTAATCACTCATGAGAACCCTTACATTTGGAAAAAACACATAGAGAGGAAATAATCGGTTATTAATAGTATGAAAACTTTTTATAACTGGTTATCTGTTGTATGAAGTTGACTGGTGCTATACGCATATCGGACTTTATCCTCTTCGTATCTTACATTCGTATTTTAACTACATCTTCATTGTGAGTGTTACCCAGCAGAGGTATCGTATGCCTCACTAGGTGGTGATGCACAAAAAGAGAACCCCTCGTCGTCCACCGCCACCCCCGCCCGTTGTTTCTAGCTTACCCAGACAAGTACAAGCCAGCCGCCGAGAAAAGAAAAATGACATTTGAAATCAGGGATAAAATTATCCCTGTTATAAAATCACTCTTGTCTTGTTTGTTATCGAAGAAAATATAGAAAAGATAAGAGGGAAAGGGTTTGGTAGAGAGAAGAGAAGAGGGAAAGGGTGATGTGATAAGACGTGCATGGGGAAGATAAATAATCTATCTTCAGAATTACTCCCTCCGTTCAAATAAGTCTGAGCATATGTGGTTTAGTAAATATATTCACTTTTTCGAAAATGATTGTAATAAATTAAATTGTTTACAGTCCTAGTTAAACGATTTAGAAATTGAATTGCAATATATTCACTTTTTAGTAAATGATTGTAATAAATTGAATTGCTTACAGTCTTGAGACACTTCAAAGGTAATCACTCGTGAGAACCCTGACATTTGGAAAAAAAACACATAGAGAGGAAATAATCTATTATTAATAGTATGAAAAATTTTTGTAACCGGTTATCTATTGTATGAAGTTGACTGTTGCTATACGCATATCGGACTTTATCCTCTTCGTATCCTACATTTGTATTTTAACTACATCTTCATTGTGAGTGTTACCCAGCAGAGGTATCATATGCCTCACTAGGTGGTGATGCACAAAAGGAGAACCCCTCGTCGGCCACCGCCACCCCCGCCCGCCGTTTCCAGCTTACCCAGCACAAGTACAAGCCAACCGCCGAAAAAAGAAAAATGGCATTTGAAATCAGTGATAAAATTATCCCTGTTATGAAATCACTCATGTCTTGTTTGTTCATCGAAGAAAATAGAGAGAAGAGAAGAGGGAAAGGGTGATGTGATAAGACGTGCATGGGGAAGATAAATAATCTATCTTCAGAATTACTCCCTCTGTTCAAATAAGCATGAGCATAAGTGGTTTAGTAAATATATTCACTTTTTGGAAAATGATTGTAATAAATTGAATTGCTTACAGTCCTAGTTAAACGATTTAGAAATTGAATTGCAATATATTCACTTTTTAGAAAATGATTGTAATAAATTGAATTGCTTATATTCCTGAGACACTTCAAAGGTAATCACTCGTGAAAACCCTTACATTTGGAAAAAACACATAGAGAGGAAATAATCGGTTTTTAATAGTATGAAAACTTTTTGTAACCGGTTATCTATTGTATGAAGTTGACTGGTGCTATACGCATATCATACTTTATCCTCTTTGTATCCTACATTTGTATTTTAACTACATCTTCATTGTGAGTGTTACCCAGCAGAGGTATCGCATGCCTCACTAGGTGGTGATGCACAAAAGGATAACCTCTAGTCGGCCACCGCCACCCCCGTCCGCCGTTTCCATCTTACCCAGCACAAGTACAAGCCAGCCGCCGAGAAAAGAAAAATGGCATTTGAAATAAGGGATAAAATTATCCCTGTTATAAAATCACTCTTGTCTTGTTTGTTCATAGAAGAAAATAGAGAGAAGAGAAGAGGGAAAGGGTTTGGTATAGAGAATAGAAGAGAGAAAGGGTGATGTGATAAGACGTGCATGGAAAAGATAAATAATCTATCTTCAGAATTACTCCATCCGTTCAAATAAGTCTGAGCATATGTGGTTTAGTAAATATATTCACTTTTTGGAAAAATGATTGTAATAAATTGAATTGCTTACAGTCCTAGTTAAACGATTTTGAAATTGAATTGCAATATATTCACTTTTTGGAAAATGATTGTAATAAATTGAATTGCTTACAGTCCTGAGACACTTCAAAGGTAATCACTCGTGAGAACCCTTACATTTGGAAAAAACACATAGAGAATAAATAATCGGTTATTAATAGTATGAAAACTTTTTGTAACAGGTTATCTATTGTATGAAATTGACTGGTGCTATACGCTTATCGGACTTTATCCTCTTCGTATCCTACATTCGTATTTTAACTGCATCTTCATCATGAGTGTTACCCAGTAGAGGTATCGTATGTCTCACTAGGTGGTGATGCACAAAAGGAGAACCCTCGTCGTCCACCGCCACCCCCGCCTGCCATTTCCAGCTTACCCAGCACAAGTACAAGCCAGTCGCTGAGAAAAGAAAAATGGCATTTGAAATCAGAGATAAAATTATCCCTGTTATAAAATCCCTCCTGTCTTGTTTGTTCATCGAAGAAAATAGAGAGAAGAGAAGAGGAAAGGGTTCGGTAGAGAGAAGATAAGAGGGAAAGAGTAATGTGATAAGACGTGCATGGGAAAGATAAATAATCTATCTTCAGAATTACTCTCTCCGTTCAAATAAGTCTAAGCATATGTGGTTTAGTAAATATATTCACTTTTTGGAAAATGATTGTAATAAATTGAATTGCTTACAGTCATAGTTAAACGATTTAGAAATTGAATTGCAATATATTCACTTTTTGGAAAATGATTGTAATAAATTGAATTGCTTACAGTACTGAGACACTTCAAAGGTAATCACTCGTGAGACCCTTACATTTGGAAAAAACACATAGAGAGGAAATAATCGGTTATTGGTAGTATGAAAACTTTTTGTAACCGGTTATCTGTTGTATGAAGTTGACTGGTGCTATACGCATATCGGATTTTATCATCTTCGTATCCTACATTTGTATTTTAACTACATCTTCATTGTGAGTGTTACCCAGCAGAGGTATCGTATGCCTCACTAGGTGGTGATGCACAAAAGGAGAACCCCTCGTCGGCCACCGCAACCCCCGCCCGCCGTTTCCAGCTTACCCAGCACAAGTACAAGCCAGCCGCCGAGAAAAGAAAAATGACATTTGAAATCAGGGATAAAATTATCCCTGTTATAAAATCACTCTTGTCTTGTTTGTTCATCGAAGAAAATATAGAGAAGAGAAGAGGGAAAGGGATTGGAAGAAAGAAGAGAAGAGGGAAAGGGTGATGTTGTAAGACGTGCATGGGGAAGATAAATAATCAATCTTCAGAATTACTCCCTCCGTTCAAATAAGTCTGAGCATATGTGGTTTAGTAAATATATTCACATTTTGGAAAATGATTGTAATAAATTGAATTGCTTACAGTCCTAGTTAAACGATTTAGAAATTGAATTGCAATATATTCACTTTTTAGAAAATGATTGTAATAAATTGAATTGCTTATAGTCCTGAGACACTTCAAAGGTAATCACTCGTGGAAACCCTTACATTTGGAAAAAAACACATAGAGAGGAAATAATCGGTTTTTAATAGTATGAAAACTTTTTGTAACCGGTTATCTATTATATGAAGTTGACTGGTGCTATACACATATCGGACTTTATCCTCTTCGTATCCTACATTTGTATTTTAACTACATCTTCATTGTGAGTGTTACCCAGCAGAGGTATCGCATGCCTCACTAGGTGTGATGCACAAAAGGAGAACCTCTAGTCGGCCACCGCCACTCTTACCCAGCACAAGTATAAGCCAGTCGCCGAGAAAAAAGAAAAATGACATTTGAAATAAGGGATAAAATTATCCCTGTTATAAAATCACTCTTGCCTTGTTTGTTCATAGAAGAAAATAGAGAGAAGAGAAGAGGGAAAGGGTTTGGTATAGAGAAGAAAAGAGGGAAAGGGTGATGTGATAAGACGTGCAGGGGAAGATAAATAATTTATCTTCAGAATTACTCCCTCCGTTCAAATAAGTCTGAGCATATGTGGTTTAGTAAATATATTTACTTTTTGGAAAATGATTGTAATAAATTGAATTGCCTACAGTCCTAGATAAACGATTTAGAAATTGAATTGCAATATATTCACTTTTTGGAAAATGATTGTAATAAATTGAATTGCTTAAAGTCCTGAGACACTTCAAAGGTAATCACTCGTGAGAACCCTTACATTTGGAAAAAACACATAGAGAGGAAAAAATCGGTTATTAACAGTTTGAAAACTTTTTGTAACCGGTTATCTATTGTATGAAGTTGACTGGTGCTATACGCATATCGGACTTTATCCTCTTCGTATCCCACTTTTGTATATTAACTAAATCTTCATTGTGAGTGTTACCCAGCAGAGGTATCGTATGCCTCACTAGGTGGTGATGCACAAAAGGAGAACCCCTCGTCGGCCACCGCCAACCCCGCCCGCCGTTTCCAGCTTACCCAGCACAAGTACAAGCCAGCCGCCGAGAAAAGAAAAATGGCATTTGAAATCAGGGATAAAATTATCCCTGTTATAAAATCACTCCTGTCTTGTTTGTTCATCGAAGAAAATAGAGAGAAGAGAAGAGGAAATGGTTTGGTAGAGAGAAGAGAAGATGGAAAGGGTGATGTGATAAGACGTGCATGGGAAAGATAAATAATCTATCTTCAGAATTACTCCATGCGTTCAAATAAGTCTGAGCATATGTGGTTTTGTAAATATATTCACTTTTTGGAAAATGATTGTAATAAATTGAATTGCATACAGTCCTAGTTAAACGATTTAGAAATTGAATTGCAATATATTCACTTTTTGGAAAATGATTGTAATAAATTGAATTGCTTACAGTCCTGAGACACTTCAAAGGTAATCACTCGTGAGAACCCTTACATTTTGAAAAAACACATAGAGAAGAGATAATCGGTTATTAATAGTATGAAAACTTTTTGTAACCGGTTATCTATTGTATGAAGTTGACTAGTGCTATACGCATATCGGACTTTATCCTCTTCGTATCCTACATTTGTATTTTAACTACATCTTCATTGTGAGTGTTACCCAACAGAGGTATCGTATGCCTCACTAGGTGGTGATGCACAAAAAAGGAGAACCCCTCGTCGGCCACCGCCACCCCCGCCCGCCGTTTCCAGCTTACTCAGCACAAGTACAAGCCAGCCACCGAGAAAAGAAAAATGGCATTTGAAATCAGGGATAAAATTATCCCTGTTATAAAATCACTCTTTTCTTGTTTGTTCATCGAAGAAAATAGAGAGAAGAGAAGAGGGAAAAGGTTTGGTAGAGAGAAGAGAAGAGGGAAAGGGTGATGTGATAAGACGTGCATGAGGAAGATAAATAATCTATCTTCAGAATTACTCCCTCCGTTCAAATAAGTCTGAGCATATGTGGTTTAGTAAATATATTCACTTTTTAGAAAATGACTTACAGTCCTAGTTAAAGGATTTAGAAATTGAATTGCAATATACATTTTGGAAAATGATTGTAATAAATTGAATTGCTTACAGTCCTGAGACACTTCAAAGGTAATCACTCGTGAGAACCCTTACATTTGGAAAAAACACATAGATCGGAAATAATCGGTTATTAATAGTATGAAAACTTTTTGTAACCGGTATCTATTGTATGAAGTTGACTGGTGCTATACGCATATCGGACTTTATCCTCTTCGTATCCTACATTTGTATTTTATCTTCAATGTAAGTGTTATGTACACCCCTATGTACAATATTATGTACATATAACTTTTTTTAGCTAACTTAGGTATTTTAATATCACTTGTACTAATATAACCATTTAATTCTTTGTAATTTTATATAGTGAGACAATAATGACTAATATATCCCTAACTTTTGATTTGCTTCCTTCAATTAGCTATTGAATTGTAGATGTATTTTAAAAGTTGATAACTTTTATATTTCTTATCGGTTTTACATATATAATATATCAAATTAATCATCTTTTGATGATCTTCTATTTGACATCCATATTGTATATATGATATAAATAAATTATATTTATCTTTATAATAATAAAAAATAATAATATTTATTAAAATTTATTAGAAAAATAAAATTATTTCTCAATTAATATATTTATATTTAATGTAGTTATATGTTGTAAGTTAAAAAAAATTATTATAATATAACACAAGTAAGTCGCACAAATAAAAAATGTCATACTAAATATATAATAATAATATATATATATATTTATAAATATGTATTTAAATTTTCAACTATTTTTTTTCTCATTAATTTTAGATTTTAAGAAAAAATAGCAAGTATGTAATACACGGGCGTTGTACTAGTGTTACATTAAAACTAAATGTTTGTATGGAAGTTAAATGAAATTAGTCACTCGTCAACTAACTCGGTCCATTTCATAAATATGACGTATTAGTTTCATTAATATTGATAAACGAGTCAAATTCGAGTTTAATGCTTACACCTTTGAGATAAATAAAAACATGTTTATAATTCAAAAAAAAACCTGAAATTGCCAAAATTTGACTAATGTCAACTCCAATTTTTGAAACTATCTCTAAAAAGAAGCTAACAAAAGTAAACATGGATCATGTTATAATGATATATAAAGGATAACATAATAACCTTATCATAATTGTACTACTTCACACAACACATTCTTTTAAGATCAACAACTACTAAACTCACACATCATCATCTTTCTATCACCCAATTATATCAAAGTAGTTTAATCCAATAAACAACACAAACTAGTGACACAACAACTATATGTAGAATTATAATTATGGGCCTCCAATGGTGTTCAAGAATATCATCACCAACTGAAGCTGATGGACTCAAAGTGGATATTATCTGCCGGCCCACTTGAGCATATGCCCGCAACATCTTTTCTCATCTCCCAAGGCCCACTAACAAGTACACCAACATTGGAAGTGGATTCTTTGTTCTCCATTAGAATCCCTACATAAATAATTCATATCAATCTCTCTTGATCATATGGCAACAATCTATGAAAATGATTCCCAACCCTAATCTTGAAAATGGGTTAATTACATAAAATAGTGAACACTCACACTAATTTTGTTGACAATTTTGTTAATAACTTTGAGAGATACTCTTTTCTTCTAATGCAAATTGTGTAACTATGAACTTTTGGAAATCAAACTGAAAAGCGCGAAATGCTCGAGATTCGAACTTCACTTACTCTTTAGATCGGGCCGTTTACCATAATGCACGTTGATGGACTTGATAACCGATTGCAGGGGAAGGCTTTGTAACTCCACATCATCATCCGACGAACCAAATGTGTTTCCAATTCTCTCCATGTCTTGAATTTGTTTGTCTTCCTTCGCATTCCGATTCTTGTTCCACAAGAACACAATACTTGCCGTCGCCACTATGGACACGCAAATCAAGAAAATGTTCATCGAGTTCTTCTTGGTGTATGAGTACAACAAGTTGGTGTTCTTGTCGATAGGGTACACCACGTATTGAGTGAAAGTTCCTAGGAGCACAAGAAAAACGACGAAAGATGATGATATGATCGTCGACAACCAAAGCCAGGTGTTGGGGCCCAATGTCTGGAAGATTGGGGCGTCCGATGGGCTCGGCCTGAACTGCACAGTTCGGATCGGTTGTGGTTTTTCGGTAGGTTGGGACTTTTCTCTCGTCACGTAGGCTTCGATTTGTAGGCCCAAGTTGCGAGAGTTTGTGTGTGAGATTGGGGGTATGAGGTCTAGCATGGAGAGATGTGAGGTGCTTTTGAACACACTAATGAGCATAAGTTTGGGGATTTTGCAACTTTGAGTGGTTGAGGATATGAACATAAGCTCTCTAATGATGGAAATGAAAGGGGTTATTCCACTCCCTCCACTAATCATCACCAGCATATCATGCCTATTCAAAATAATTCGAAGAGTACGTAAGAAGTGGGTTGTTTTGCAATTAGACTCAACTTTAGAGTACTTTTTTTTTTGTAATTAATATCTAAATTCATGCACCTGAGGAAATTTGTCGTGTCGGGTCCGTATGGTCCTTCAACCGATACTTGAAGACGGTTCACAGAGGATGGAGATGAGAGCGAGTCGTAAAGCTTTTTGGTCCAACTGCCTTCACATTTGACTACAATACTTAGCCTCTCTGGCTCTAAGCTGCTGTTTGAAGTTATAGTGAAAGGATGCCATTGGAGCTTGGAAATTATGGGCAAGTTTATAAACATGGTACTTGTTGGATTGTAAGTCAAGCCTGCAACAAATGAAATTAATTGCAATTTTTTCAAGTTGAATATATCCTAAGTCCTTATGCATATTTCATGTTTTTGAAAAAGAAATTAAATTGGGGTCATTGCAAAAGACCATGAGAGTTATTGCAAACAAAATCTCAAGTGTTTGTTAATCAATTTTCACTTGAATGAGTTGTGTATTAAGGTTAATCAAATGTTAAGTCAAAGTGTACATACCTCGGCACTTGGCGAAATTAAGCTCAACAGTTTCGCACGGTAGGACTCGAGCAGAAACTAAACGCACATTTTGTCTCGATTGTAAGAACCTAAGGTATCGGTCGATCACAAAGAGATAAAATCCGGGGAGCATAATGCAGGCGAAGCCAATTCCGGCATGCAATATGAAGAAGATGATGAAGGCAATGTAGAGATGGTGTGTGTAGAAGAAGAGCTCAAACATCTTTCTTCTTATGTTAGGGTAAGTTGTCAACCACAAAGCCAATCCACATAGTAAAGAGATTTCCCCAGCTATGTTTGATACATAATGGTCATTCCATTTAATCATCTGCAAAAATTTCAAATTCATGCATGCAATCAAAAGCTGAAAGCAATTTTTATAATCTTACTTTTTATCATGTTTTGTACAATTTCTTATTTTTGCATAAAATTTGTTAAGTGATTTTGCATTTTCGGCACATTTCACGATACGAATAGACTATTGATAGAGTAACATGAAATAAATCAGGTCGGTAAACCGAACAATAAATAAGATGACGCTATATATAATGGGCTTTGGGCCTTTGACCCGAACAACCATAGGACTTGACAACAACCAAACATGTCAGACCTAATCAAGACCTGGTCGACTCAAACACCCAATTGGCTCAACCCGTTTTGACCCGACAATTATATATATATATATACTTTGCCAACCAAAGTGGTGATTGAAATAATGTCACCTAAATTCATGTCACAATCCACTTTGGTATATATATTAGAGAACCAAGTAATTTAATATGGTTCATACAAAATCTTTGGAAAAGTGACTTATATCCTTGAGTGAATTATATTTTTATTAATTTATGCTTTTTTTATTGAAATTGTTCATAGTGCATGGTCCCAATTTTATTAGGATGATAGCAAAAAGACTAAGGCCATGACAAAAAAGCATATATAGCATTATAATTTCTTTGTCAAAAGCATATTCTTTTGTGACAATACCTACTACCAAACGTTGAACATGACAATCCCGTTAGATTAGAAACATCATCTCGTGTTGTTGGTCAATATATTCCAATCCCTAATGGTGGCTCATGAGGAAGAATTTTCTGTCCCATTAAATTAAATTTCAAAAGTTTTTTTTTTTTTTTTTAGTTGTCCCATTTTATTCACTGTCAATTTATGTGTATATTGTTGGGTGTGCAAACCCAATTCCCGAAAATTAATGGTTTACAAGTCAATATATAAGCTTAGTGGGCTACTCCCTCTATTGCCAATTGGTTTTAGAGTGGAACCCCATTTGGGCTTATATGATGGGCTTGATGGAGAACTGGGTTTAGAATTATTGATCCTAACAATTGGTATCAGAGCCACGGTTGGTAGCTCAGTTGCGATGTGGATGACGTGGCATGTTCCCTGTGGAGCCGAAAGGGCCGGTGGATCCATGTGCCTTGTGTCGAAAGTCTTCCTGACGAAAGAGTGTGGTCAGGCGGCGGGTTCCGTGGGTGATAACGGCGGTACAAGATCGGATCGTATGAATTTCGTTCAAAAGGAGGCTCAATGTGGTCTTCTGTTTGAGGGGAGGTTTGTTGGGTGTGCAAACTCAATCCCACATCGGAAAATTAATGGTTTCCAAGTCAATGTATAAGCTTAGTGGGCTACTCCCTCTATTGTCAATTGGTTTTAGAGTGGAACCCCATTTGGGCTTATATGATGGGCTTGATGGAGAACTGAGTTTAGAATTGTTGATCCTAACATATATAGGATAAAAGAGCCTACAATGAGTGCTATTTAATTAAAAATAAATAAAAGTAACAAATTTTAAGAATTATTTGAAAATTTAAAATATTTTTTTTTTTTTATTTTCCATAATTTAAGTATAAAATTTTGCGTAATACGTATTTTGCAAAATTGAACCAATTAAAGAATTTTTATTTTATTATTTAAAATTTTTATTAAAATATTTGTAATATATATATACAAGTAGTTTCCTACTATTAGTATATATATAATATAATTGCTAATTGGACCAATTTGCTAATATTCCTCACCAAGTTTTTTTTTTTTTTNNAAGTTTTTTTATTTTATTTTATTTTTCTTCTTTGGCATCACTAATAAATAAATCCTATGATCAAGCTCCTACAAATACATACATACACATATATATATATATATATGTGTGTGTGTGTGTGTGTGTGTGTGTGTGTATAGTAATCAAATTGATTACCAATAGTTGACCACATAAATATGCTACTTTTAGTGAAGATCACTTAACCTCATGACTTGGTGATAATTAGTTGCTTACTTACATTTAACTTTTCTTCTTCAAGCAATTTAATCAATTTATATATACCTAAGCTTCCATTTTACTCCACTTCCTTAATAAGATATTATTATTATCATTATTATTATTATTATTATTATTATTATTATTATTATTATTATTATTATTATTTCTTGAATTATTTTTCACCTAAAATTCACCTTCACTGTTATTTGTCAAGCTTAATGAACAAAGTCATGTAACCTTTTTCATCCCCTTCACACTACCAAGTCAATCTGTAGGAAAATAAAATTTTCAAAATAAAACAAACTCTACAACTACTTTCTACATTTTTGCAACCTCTTTTTAACAACTACCTAACCGAAAATCGAAATATTTCAAGAATATATTAAATCGTTCGAATCAAGATAAAAACTCTTGGAATATTATTATATCCAGTTTCACCCTCATGACCGCTACTCAAAAAGCAAAAAAGTCATACGTGACGGTTATTGAAGTAGCGAAAAAATGTGAAAATAGTAAAGAAAAAAGTCGTTAGAAGTTAAGGAAAAAACGAACTAATCGCGATATCAATTTATTGTTTACCTCGGATATTCTGTTGGTCAAGGCCCAGTAGACAATGTAGAGAAATCCATGAGCAGTAAAAAGGGCCATAGTCATGTGGCCAAGCCAAATGTGGTACTTAATGCTCGCCTCGGATGTTAGCCCAATCATCGGCAAAATCGACGATTTTCTTGTCACGGGGTAGAATAAAAATGTTAGGCATAAATTCCCTGTTACCCCTGTTACTATAGCAACTCTGTCTAGCTTTGTTTGCCACCTGCACAAAAAAAAATTAAAAAAAAAAACAACAACAAAATTTAATCAAGAAGATGTAAATATAGTGAATGGTAGCTTATGGAAATTAAAGGGGGGAAAAATGGTTTATTGTTGCATATTTAGTTAATCATAGTGCATACTTAGTGCATATTTAGTTCAACACGTTACAATGTCGATTTGTACATTCGAAATTCGTGACGTATATTTTAAATTAGTTCTTTAAATACCAAGCACTGAGACCAACACGCTTGTATTGTTTTCTTGATTGGTCGTATAAGTTTCGTGCCTCTAACGACTCGACTTAATATGAGCTAATCATACATATGCAAAAGGCTTTATAGAAGCTAGCGTTTTGGAAATGTGCTTACGTTTTTTCATGTCTAGTCATCGAGAGCATGGGGACTTGCTTAAACCAGTGGCGCACGTAATACGCGAAATACCAAACGCAAAGAGCAACGAACAAAATAAACAGCGCGAGCTCGGTTATGGTGACGATACCGAGCCCCTTCACGATCATCGGCTTCTTCAACAAACTTACTTTTGTGTTACTTTTGCTGTTGTAGTTAAAAAAAAAACATTATTTCCATTTTTTTGGGGGCAAAAAAAAAAATGAAAAATTTGCAATAAATAAATAAATTTGTTATAGTAAAAAAAATAAAATAAAAAAGTTGACTATAAGAGCCAAAAATCACTACTCAAACCTTGTTGTGGCACACCCACTACTCTTCTTTATCTTTCCCAAATGCAGATATAAACATCCCACAACAGCAATGAACAAAATTGGAAATGTAAAATTCAGCATTATTGGACCTGATACAAATTAATTAATTACATGCATTAATCAATGAAAAAAATAAAATTAAAAAATCTCAATAACTAATTTAGGGAAAAAAAAAACATATTATTTTAGCATATATAATATGTCCAAATAAGCAAAAACTCACCAAAAACTACTCACTTATTAATTGTTAAAACAATTCACAATAATAAGCAAAATGCTTGTATATTATTCAATATTGCTAGACTTCAATAAATGTTGAACTTAATAAATAATTAAGGATTAATAAATAATTAATTAAATAATTAAACAATTAATTAAGTAAGTAAGTAAATAGTTTTTTTATGAAGCCAACAGTTGGCTCCATAGTGGAACCAACCTTCTATATACTAACATATAAACCTACCATATTAATAAATTTATTTTGTTGTTATTTAAGTAATCCGAGAATATGGTAGGTTTACTTATTGTATATAGAAAGTTGGCTCGACTATGGAACCAACTGTTAGCTTCGTAGCGAAACCGAGTAAGTAATTTACCTTGTATTCCAAAGAAAGTAGAGTTAGTATCAGCAAGAATGTGGAGCAACCAGTCATTGTAATAAGTATCAGTTGGCATAATAATCCACATCATTATATTGCCAAGAAAAACAATAAGGGCCAGCCACAAAATTGCTCCTCTTGCAGCAGTAGTGATTATTACTGAGGAAGAAGCCATTGTTGTTGAGCTCTGCTCTTGAGTTTTTTTTTTTTTTTTTTTCAAATATAATATATTTTGCTGTTTGACTGTTTTTTATTTCTATGTGAAAAGCTTCTTCTAGTGGAAGATTTGTTGGGGACTGATAAATAAAAAAAGGAAGTGGTTGTGTTTGTGTGTACAAGACGATACACAGAGTTATATACACGTTTGAGTGGGTACGGAGTAAATGCTGAAACTATTTCGTCGGGGTTTGTAATCGACAGATTAACTATCTCCGATGGTTATATGATGATCTAACGGTTACAAATCTCGACGAATATTTCTATAATGGGTCCGTAGCATTTTCTTAACAGATTCTCAGGTGCTAGGCCGATTGTTATGCGAGCTAATTATATTATTTTTTAATAAAAAAATAATTATATTAATGAAAATGTCTTTAATAAAATTTTATATCAATATTATGAAATATTACTTATTGTTTATGTTGTTTGTTAGAATACGATAATTTTTTAGCAGTGTTAAAACTCTTGATGGAGAGTTTTGCCGCTCTTGTGGTCCTATCCGGCTCGATTTCGGATTAGTCGGTTCCTCTGTGGATCCAGAAACCGGAAGGTCCCTGTATCAAAAAAAAAAAAAAAGAATACGATAATTTTTAATAAGAAAATGTGTATATTTATTGAAAACATATATATGGTGGGTTAACTGACAATCCGGTGTTGGTAGGGCTGCAAACGAGGCGAGTCGAGCATTTGTCTTATTGAGCGGGATTGAGTTTTTTTTTTTTAGCCGCTCAAGCTTGATTTTTGAGATTCGAGCGCGGCTCGATAAAAAATTACAATAGCTCGAGCTCCACTCGAAATCAAAATGTTCGAGCTCGGCTCAAATTTTTTTAACTAGAAAGATAAAATTACGAATAAATACTTATGCTGATATATATAATATGAGGTATTTTAGTAATTTAACGTATATCTCGAGCCGCCCGACAAGGCAAAATATGGGTTCGAGTCTCGAGTTTCGTCAAACTCAAACTCGACTCGAACATTGGCTCAAGCGCTCGCGAACGACTCGATTCGTTTGTAGCCATTGATGTTGGTGAAGGGATAAAAAGTTGTTGCAATTAATAACGGTAAATGACAAGTGACGTCGTGTTTCTTTCCTTGTTTATTTTTTAATTTTTATTGCATTTTTGGATGTTATTTTCCTACCTAATTATTTGAAAAATAATAACTTAACATTGTTCACGCGGAATTTCAATCCATTAGCTTACATATGTACACAGTGTTGCTATACTATATTAATCTACGTACGGATCGTGCTTTGTACATAATTAGTGTGTATCCCGTGCGATATACGGAAACAATATTAAATTAAAGATTATAAATAGATTTCGAGTTTGAGACACTCAATGGCAGAAGTGAAAACTATTAATCATCCTATTTAAAAAAAAAAGAAGAAAAAAAATAATTATAAAATAAAGAGGAAGATAAACAATACTTCACTATTATAAATTAAAGATTCGGGGTCAAACAATGTAATATTATTTTATATAAGAGAATATAAATTTTACATTATTTTGTATAAGCGAATATAAAATTTGTATGTTTAATAACGACTAAATATTATATTACTATATGTAAAAGTATTCAAAATTTTCTATATTACTTTTAAAAGATATGAAGTCACCTACAACTTTTTAAACAATTTAGAAAGAAAACATATCTAAAAACATTTGAATTTAACATTGTGTAAAAAAGATTTTTTAGACTATTTTGTAAAAAAAAAAACATGTCTACAAACATTTAAATTTAACATCAATTATGTATATGTGTATATGCACATATATATATATATAGACGAATATGTAAAAAAAAAAAAAAATGTCTAAACAATTTGTTTAAAGTATCTAATATTATAAGCCTAATTTAATAAACACATTATGTATATGAATTTATGGTGTTACTTTCATCTAAAAAAATTTGATTACACACAATTTAAAATTATTATTATACTTTTTACGTTGTTATCGAGGATATGTATTGTTACCTTAAAATATTTGAAAAATATTAGTAGTTAGACGGATGAAAATTAACTTTTTAGAGTACACAATGAATTTCTTGTAGTAATTTATCTAGCTTTTTAGAGTAGATAAAGAATTTCTAGTAATAATTATAAATTGGTTTTTATTTTATTTTATTTTTTTATTATAAGGGATGAGATTTTTTAAACTAAGAATTGTGTAAAAGTGAGATAAGAGTTATGAGCTACTATATGGAGTTACTTCCATGTAAAAACATTTGATCACACAATTTTAAAATTATTATTATACTTTTTACGTTGTTACCGAGTATGTATTGTTAGCTTATAATATTTGAAAAATATTAGTAATTAGACAAAATTAGCTTTTTAAGGTAGATAATGAATTTTTAGTAGTAATTATAAATTAGTTTTTATTTTTATTTTTATTTTTTTTTAAATCTGTATAGATAAGGGATGAAATTTTTTAAACTAAGAATTTTTTAACAAATAAGAGATTTACAAGCAACTATATGGTGTTACTTCCATCTAAAAATTACACACCATTTTGAAATTATTATTATACCTTTTACGTTGTTATGAGGATGTATTGTTAGCTTATAATATTTGTAAAAAATAGTAATTAGACTAATGGAAATTAGCTTTTTAAAGTAGATGGATTTCTAGTTGTAATTATGAATTGATTTTTATTTTATTTTATTTTTTTAAATCTGTATAGATAAGGGATTTTTTAAACTCACGTATTATGCTATGAAATTTTATAAACTACCATTTTTTTTTTAAATCTATCGATTTTTCTGCCTACGAAACCTAAAAAACAGAAAAATAAAAAAAATATTTACTGTCAAACAACGGTTTTGATAACCTAAAAAACAAGAAAAAGAGAAACAAATCTTTACACAATTAGCATCGCCAATTTTTTTGTCCTACAATTACTATATGTAAGATATATTTAATGATTATGGCGGAAAATGTTTCTAAATTTGTAAAAATGTTATTTTTTTTTTTTATATAATGATAGATTTAATTTAATATTGTTCATTTTTATTGGATTGTGTTTTATTTGAGCCCAAAAACACAATCCAACGTCGGGCTAGCCCTAGTGGTTTCGGGCTAACCCTAGCGGGCTTCGGGCTAAACGGTTCAGGCCAAAAAAGCCCGGATTTAAACGGGCTACCAATAAAAAGACCTAACCCTAACCCTAGCGGGCTTCGGGCTAAACGGGCTATGCGGGCTATAATAATAATAATAATAATAATAATAATAATAATAATAATAATAATAATAATAATAATAATAATAATAATAATAATAATAATAATAATAATAATAATGTATCAAAAAATAAAATATAAATAAAAAAATTATAAAAAAATATAGCGACTAATTAACGATTTTTTTCAACGGCTTTGGTATTTACCGCTCTATATATACAATTACACATCATATGTGAACACACACTACAAACTCTTAAATAACATTTTTTTTTTTCAAAAGAAAAAAATATTCGAATTATTACTTACAATTACCATTTTACTACTTATTTTGTACGCTTTAGAAATTTTTACGATATTATATCATTATATATTCTATCACTATGTTTCATTTGTTAGGTCTTTATCTCATGTATTTTCTATTAGTCGTTCTGATTGACTTAAATATTTTGGTGTGGGGTACAATAAGAACATTGATAATTATCTTTCAAAATCATTATAATCCGTTACACCTCATACTTACATGTGAAGTGAAATAGCAAAATTGTAATATACAATGAATCTAAAAGCATATTACTTACTTGCTGCAAACATTTACAACGCGCAACTCAAGTTAAAAGGACCAGCCCTAGCGGGTTTCGGGCTAGCCATAACGGGCTTCGGTTTAAACGGTCCAAGCCTAAAAGTCCTGATTTAAATGGGCTACCAATAAAAAACTCTAACCCTATTTTTTTTAGGGCTAAACGGACCGGTCCATCGAGCCAAGTACTGTTTAACATCTCTAGTCGTAGGCCTCAACAAGTATAATCACCGATCCATAAAATAATCACTGCCACGTGTCATTTTGCATGCAACTCTTCTATATTGGTAAAAAAATATTTTAGTCCATATTACATTACATTAGCTCATTATTAATCTTATTTTGGCTTAAAATAAAATAAAATTATTTTATATTAAATTAATGAATTATATATTTGAACATGATCATTTAATTCTTTCAACTATTATTTTTAGATTATTATGTCTCTTTTATGTCATTTTTGTGTTTATTTTTTCATTACTTGATTAAATAGATTAAATTAATTTGAATAATTTTATTCGATACAATATTTATTGTGCTAGACTTTCATTTAAATACTTAACATGTAATTGAAATTGTAGAGTTCACAATCAAGTTTATATATTCACTGAATTTTTAAATAAATGATAGTTGGTTATATGAAATTTGCTATTAAATCTCATTTATTTATTTGACAAATTTAATGACATAACATATATACTTTAAATGACATGACATATAACAAGAATGATGAGACTATTATACTATTTTATAGTAGTTCTTTGAATAAATGATATTATTTTTTAATTAAAATTCAAGTACATGAGATTTTTTTTAATATTTTTAAAGAAAAAAATTATAAAACAATTAAAAATAAAGAATTTTCATAAATATAAGACAATGGTTAAATCTTCACAAGTTTTCTTCAAGGAGAGCCATCCTCATATGAAATACGAATAGTTAGAAAGTATAATAAATTTTTATATTTCTGTGTGATTCAAGTAACTTATATAAAATTTTAATTTTTAACTTCTTTAAACACATGTGTAGACAGATTTTTCAAATCGAGTATTTCAGTTTTGAACTCGTGTTCATTTAATAAACGAGTTGTCGTGGCTTAACTCATTTACTGAACAAATAAAAAATTCAAGCTTAACTTTGACTCGTATAAACTCAGTTCATTTCATTTAATAAACCGTAAAACCTAGAACAAAACTCAAAACTCTAACTGAATTATTATTTGCGAACACACTCTACCCGACTTGTTTGATACATAAGCTCTATCGATTAGTTTTTCGATTCTGAATCGTTTAAATATACAAGAAAGTCAACTTCGAACATTTACGAGTTGTGCAAAACTATGTTAGAGGACCTATCGATTCGAATAAACTACAACATATTCTGCAGCCTATGTGAAAAAATTTTCTACCTACGCCCATGCTTAATTATGGTAACT